TTCCGATGTTGGCAGCTTCTTTGGTTCAGTGCCGTTGCGGCACTGTCCCAGCACTGCGTGGGAACCACAGGGAAATTCAGGTTTGTAACTAGAATCTGCTCTCTTGGCATTTAACAGCAAAAAAATCATTAAAGAAACTAAATACTGAAAGTTGTGCTTTTGCAGTTGTACATAAAGTATACATATATACACAAACACACATACATACAGACAAACTGATGGCTTTATTTTCTTGTAATGCCTGTTTTCCTGCAGGTCTATTATATGCTGCTGGGTTTGCAAAAGTTAACAGGAACTAGGAAAGAATGAACCCATTTGCTCATTTCACAAACATTACCAAATTTTCTCAGTATCTTCAGACATACACATATGCCTCACAAAGGATCATTCACAAAAAAAAAAAGATACTGTCTTTCCAGGATCAATGAGACACAACAGCATTTATGCACATGTACTAAAAGCTGCAGAAACACTGCTTGTCCAGCAAGTCACACTGTTCATACCTGAGGATGCTTGTAATAGTACAACTAGCCCTGTAGGTCTGTCTTCAGTAGAAGGACCACTTTGTCCGCAAATAACACAATCATATATTGCTTCAGAAACATGCTGCTCTGATGTAGCGATCTCCATGGCTACATCGGCATCTGGCGATTCTGAAAAATAAGAACATTTATAGTAAATAGAAGAAAATAAATCCAATTGCATCTGCATTGAGGTCATGATGGAAAAACTCCAAAATAACGTATCTAGTTTATCTGCAGCTAAAAAATTGGCGGCTCCTTGAAATTACCCTTGCTGCTTCAAACAGAAAGACACCTACACAATGAAGTACAAGCTTTCCCATATTCAAAGTTATTCCCAGTGAAATTAAATGTTTAGTTCAAGATTTGTGTTAAGCTTAATTTCTTTAAACTTCTATAAAACAAAGATCTTACTTTTATTTCATTATATATATTGAAAACTCTAAATACTGTGAGATGAAATGCAATTTAGTATCAATCTCTACTAAAAGCTGATTTGCTCAGAAGTGACTATGACAAGAACTAGAAGGAAAAAGTTAATCTGGAGACCTTAGATGCTCAGAGAAGGCAAACAAAATATGCAAGTAAAAACAAAAGAAAATATGCTTTTTAATACGCAACTTGGACAATCTTTTAAAATTTGGGATGCAATAAGAAAGCAGAAGATGTTCATTTAACATTTACCATACACAAGACATATCAGAAATCTGGTTTTCTAGTGGTCCACATTATTATTTCCCAGGTGCACTGACAGAAAGGCTCAAGGCTAAGGACCAACTTCAATGTATTGAAGCAATTGCACTTGATGTAACTGTTCACCTGATGGTAGTGCTGGTTTCAGGGCAGAGGGCTAACCATAAGCAACTTATGTTATGTTACAATCAAGGGTAAGAATTCTTTATTGGCTTGAAAGAAAAGGACCCTAAAGACTAAATTATCTTCTCCTGAGTGCTCAGGAACAGATACAATCACAGTCTCTGAACCTAGAATACAAGGGTGCTTTGCTTCTTCACTAGAACATAACTTTTCCAAAGGAAAATGCCTTCACCCTACTTTCAATCCTACCCTTTAGTAGGCCAAGGTGTCGGACAGAGAACCCAAAAAACTTGAGAAGCAACAGTCCTCATGCAGAAATGCTTTTAGGAGAGCTGCTCTCTTCTGAAAGTCCACAAGTTCAGCAGAGGAGGCCTAGTGCTACAGGAGTGCTATAAGGAAAGATGCTAGGCAGCATCCTTCTTAACTATGAAAAGCTCCATACAATGCTCTTCACTCACAGGGTAGACCCAATATTTCATTATTTAGTAACTACTGATTTCCCAGTTATTGAGTCTCACATGAAAATGAACTCCCATCATTACGACGTACAGCTGTAAATATTGTACACACATCTATCACCATCTAGTGGCAGTCAGTTGGTACCATGAAAAAGCAGAATGCTTTAAGTCCAAATATCCAGAGAACTTACAAGCAACTGTAGCACAGAAAGAAGTAACCACTAAAGCTATTTTTTATATTTTACATCACCTCATAATTGTGTAACTCACACTCAGGTATTCCTGTGTATCAGAAGCCCATGATATGAAAAGGAAAAGCAAATTCCAGCCTTTTTAGCTTTTTCTAAAATATCGTCAATACAACATAAAATATGCACCCATTCAATAATTTAAGTATAGAAAGACAATAGTGTGTTAGTCTGTGATTCTGTAACGTGACTTTGAACAACGCAATGGAAGTCCTCAAAATCAGGTAATATTTTAAAAATACCATTCATAAATTGCAAATTGTATATAAACCTGAAGGAAAAAAAGATAGGAATTCTTAGTATTTTAAATGTGTTTCAAACCAATTCAGTATATGCAATCTATACCTCTATTGCCTATGTGCAAAGACACCTAAAAATTAGATTAATTTAATTTTAGAACTCAAGGATCAAATGTTTCCTTCACAATTACTTAGACCTAGTGCTAGGCTACTTTGGCAAACAATACCATTTCAAGAGAGCTAAATTTCTAGCATCAGGGAAGACTACCTAATAAAATAATTCTCCCTACAACTAGTGAAAGAAAACTCAACTTACACAAAATCCATAGGTAAGAGAAACTGGTGAGAATTTGAAGTCTCAAATAATTAAACAGGCTAAAAAAACCCTCAAGGAAACAATAAAAAGCAATTATTTTTGAATAGGCTATGATAAACCTTGATTACTGGGTTAAATTAGATGTTTGCTTGTTTGAAAGGTAAGGCTTGGGCTATGGTTTGCTTGAAAGGATACATTTTGGCACCATCATTCTTTGCATGAAAATATATTGGTGGCAGTCTGGAAAAAAGAAAGCAAGCTATGCATATAAAGAATTGCTCTGTGCTTTCCATGACAATTTCTGAAGCATTTTTTTTAGTTACTGGAGTTGTGCTATTTTATTAATTTGATTTAGAAAATGCAGCTCCTTACATTTCCTAACATTTCCTTATAACATTTCCTAGCTCCCAGGATGCAATTGTTGAAAGACAGCTTAATAAAAAGAATTATTTTATGAAATGTCCTTTTATATTGATGAAAAGTTTTCATAGTTAAAAACCAGTTCTGATATAGTATAAAATTCCTTCTATTCTAGCTAAAAACCATCAAGAACTGTCACATAAACAAAGCTATGTAAGTTGCAAATAAATCGTGAAGGATAATCTACATCTCTTTATTTTACTTCCACTGGTCTCAACCTCCAACATTTTTGCCAACACTAGAAAGGTATTTCCATGAAAACAGCACTTCTGTGTTATGTCCCAGAACAATATTGCCCTAGTGAGTGTCAAAGGAATCCTTTGCCAGCCATTTGCTGAGATACTGATCTTGCAGCATATTACTTTTTCATTTTTGAAACAAGTTTTGTTGGAGTCAGATTTTGTTCTGCATGAAAACCACTGGTACCCAAAACAAGACGTCTTGTCACTCCAATGGAGATTGAGAATGTAGGTAGTGGCAACAGGACAGCAAGGAAGACCAAGGTGGCCTTAGTTCCTAGGCTCAAGCACGGTTTTACTAGCCTGAAAGCAGTCATACAGAGAGCTACTGTATTTTATGTCAAGAATTATTTGGAATACAACCAGGGATGCTTACAGTTTCAAACTCTGACTCTCAAAAATTTTAACTTCATTGATTTCAGAGACTTGTTCTGATGATGTCCATGTGTGTAAAGAAGGAGCAAATGGCAAATACAATATAAGACACATGGTGTTGGTATCAATTCACTCCGCTTCTCTCCTGAAGTTTCTCTAACTTTGTAACACCCCCAACCCACTTCAGTGGGTTCCGAGACTCTTCCTTGTCCTTGTGAATTATTTCAGAAGTCTGGATAAAGATGAACCTCATTAAAAACAAAGATAAAAACACCAAAGGAGGATGAAAACATTTAAACTGTGACAGAAATGCAAGGTAGTGCCAAACATTATCATTCCCATGGGTTTTTTAAAAAGTTAATTATTTAGCTCTTTCTTTGGTTGTAAATCAATAGGAGTGAGAGACTCAAAGTTACCAATTCTTAGCATTTCCTACTTCCTAGCAAATACTGATGCCTAAATTTTATTTCACTTGTACTCTCCAGAGTTAAATATTGACTCTCTTTCCCCTACCCAGCAAAACCCCAGAATCAAAAGGGCTTTGTAAACACAGTACATATAATCTCTGTTGACTGTAGTCAACATTTTTCCTGCTCTACACATTGAGTGTCAAGCTGGCCCCTTGGCATCAAGGCAACCATTAGTATGCTAATATTCTTTGCCCTGACCCAGCATATATATTCTCAAGAGATCGGTACCTAATTTATTTTTCTGTCTGGGTTCAGAAGATTGAGCGTTAGGAAATCTATGTCACCTTGCATTAAAATTCTGCACTTCTTTCTAACTCTAGCTAAAAAATGTTTGCTTGAAGGACAAAATGTCTGCTGAAACTCATATCATCAGAAAGAAACACACAGATCATACTGCATACTTACCACAAGGCATTAAAAAAAAATATCACACTGGATACTTCAGAGAGAGCAAAACTACTGAAGGAATGCAAGGTACTTAATATTTGTACTCCACAAATTTACTAATATACACATTTTCATTAAGACACATAAGATAAAGTGCTTCACAATAGTTTGCCTGGAATGAATTATAACATTTCATGCTTATTGAATTTAGATAGACAGGTCATTACAAATATGGCTATAATTTGTTAAGGGCTGCTATTAACCTGGAGCAGAGATATTTATTTTTATTATCATCAAATTCTGCCTGAAAGGCAGTGAAGTTTCAGAAATCTCTTGCATGGAGTTTCACATCACAACAAATAAACCATGGTCTGACACTGAGTAAGTGCTCTCAAAGCAGACAGAAAAGTAGCTATTACTAAGAGACTAGAAGGCCTATGGTGTTGACACTGGATGTGACTACATGACAAAACATTTGAGACTCACTGGGTATTCTCAGATATTATAAGAGTTCTATCTGCCACTTTTAGAATTATATTTCTTGGTTTATTTTTCTGCTTTTTACATTTGTCCTGCAGTCAAACAGCTAAAGAAAGCACAGTAGATTCTGTTCCATCCTAGTTCATTAACATAACTGTTTCTAAATTTCACTTAATTATTTCCAGGCAAGCTTGAATGACAAAGCAGTTCTGCAGATGCCTAAGAATACAAATAGAAACTAACAGGGGGCACAAATGGAAAAGGCTAAATAATTGCCTTTTTTTTTTTCTTTCTACAGCGATTGTATAGAAGAAAATCCCTAACTTTACTTTCAGAATCTCAGATGAATTCCAGTTCAAATAAGTATTTTTTGCTGGTAAAATGAGACTTGTTTGATACTGAAATATGAGCACGTGAATAGGTACATGCCTTTTAAGCCACGTGTCATTGCAGCATCCCAACAAGCAAACAAAAGGAATGTCTCAAGGGAGCAACAGTGGCTCTATCTGCTTTCATAAACACTGGAAGCTATTAAGTTTATGGGGTTTTAATAAAATAATCTTTAAGCTTTAGCTGTTCTCCATTACTCCTGTTTTCTTCTAGACACATTTATTTTCAGAGTATTTTCAGTCTCTACACTGTCAAGAGAAAGCTATTATGAAATTTTGAAGTGCTATATGCAAAACCAATTACATCAGATCTCATCTTCTACCACTGAACCACATCCACATTTCACAGATAGAGAAGTTTTAAAAGTTGGTGATGATAATTTGCTCAAGCGACACCAAATGAATCAGTGCCAAAGCCAGGGAGCTGAGGCCTCACCATCCCTGCATTCTGACAATATTATTACTTTTACAACAAACAATAAAAATTAAGAAATAAACCTACTGCTGAATTTCAACCCATAGCAAAAGCAACAGGTAATAGAGCTTGAATGTGTAAGAAGGGAACATATTTTAACTGATTGATTTTATTGTGAAAGGGTTTTTTGTTTTCACACATACTACTTCAGCACAGCTACGATAAACCTCAGGATAGCACTATTCAATATTTATATTTGTTTTAAATTTAATAATTCCAGAAAAACTAGCTTCAGAATCCTTACTATATCTTGTGTTTTAAAATTTAACAATAGTTTCTGCAGCTCTTTTAATAATTTGCTGTACATAGAGAAACTGCACTTGCAGCTGAACAAATTACTGCAGTTAAAAAAAATGAGAGCAAACTGAAGAAAATATTCTGGGCTAAGAATTAATCTCAGTTTTTAAATAAATTCTATATACTGTAATGGAATACTTCCTTTCTGCAAACTAATTTAATGCCAGTCAGAACATGAAACTACTTAATACTGAACTATAGCACAAATGCAGTGAATTTCCATCACAAACTCAGAAAACAGCATGATAACCTAGAAGACACTGAAAAAAGTTAGTGAGAAAGCTAAGCTATTATACATCTAACAATGTCTGGGATTCTATTGAGTTGTTACCAAAAAAAGCTTTCATGCAAAACAACTTTATTAAAATGTTGTCCATAAAGTTTATTTAATCTACTACTGTGTATGACCTGGTATAACTGACAACAAACAGTATATTTTGAGATATCTGAAGCTCTAAATTGTTTAAATACTAAGAAACAAACAATTTAAGTGTTGCATGCCTGAGAACTTTTTAATGCACAATCATAAGCACAAAGGTCGAGGTCTGCCTGCTACACAAATTAAGAGTTCTTTTTAATATTTGACATGTGTTCAGTTCAGTAAAAGCTAAGTGCTCCCAGCTAAGTTTGCCACACAAACAAATGCCATGTTTGTTATTGATTTAACTGGTATTTTTCATCCAAAAATGAAAGCAGTTACCTTAAACATAGCTTATAAAACTCAAGCATGGGAGTATTTATGCATACATATGTATGTATGCAAATACATACAAACCATGCAAATAATATATAGGTACATGTGATTTCATATATAAAACCATCAACTTCAAAGTTGCAAGATCAGTAATACAAAACATAGGTGAGAGCAGAATCAAAGCTTCCTTGTTGCTTTAAACTAGCCATGACTGTAAAAACACTTCATTTTTAATAAGTAGAACTGCATTTCTTGTTCCCTTCTTCCTTACTTCAAAACAAAAAGAAATAGCGACCCATTTAATCAGCATGACAAAGTCGTTTTTATCTGTAAGCCTTCTGTTGTATTGCACACTCTCCAAACACCATGTATGTGCTCACTAAATTCCTAAAGAAACATCAGTGATTGCTGTATTCAAGACCTTCGTAAGTATGAATAAATCTTCTCAGCAACCTATGAACTGGAGAGATTTTAACAATTTCAAAACCCAGACTTCTTTAGCAACAACAGTTGTCTCCGTATTTCTAACTAGTGCTTAAAACTCAAATCAAAACCATATAGCAGATAATATTGATTGAAAGAGGGTAAAAATTCCTTTTATTTTTCATTTTTAACAAGTACTAGTTTTCAATGAAGTAATCCAGATGATGAAAATGTTTTCCACTCCTCAGATACACAAACAAATTAAACAAGAACCTGAATGACTTATCCTCAAGAAAAACAAGAGCTGATTCTGCTGCAAAGCCTGTACTTGAAATAGAATAATAGAACATTATAACTTACAGGAACAGAGATGACCTAAAATTATGCTTTCCTTAATTCTATACATAAATTTAAAATGCAAAGTTTCAACCTTAGCGAAATTAGAGGCTCTAAGGAAGAATTAATCATATATTATTATGAAAGATTAAGTAAAATACCATCTTTAAAAGACAAACTTTGGGATATTTTATATTAAAAGGTAAATACTTTAAAATATCACACAAAGTTAATAATTTCATCCAACGTATATTAAGAAAAAATAGGAATAAAATTATGTCCTACAGATAATGTGTTCTCCTTTAAATATTTTCAAGAAAATGTAATCTATTCTTCAGCAATTAGGTATTTAGTATTATCTGCCCTAGAAAATCCAACTTAAGCGTCTTTATTAGTATTTAGTGAACAAGTGGATATATCAGCAGAATCTGAGATGAGTGTTTTATGTCTGGAGTTTGCTTGGTCTTTTTTTAACTGTTTGAGTACAACCCTTACTATTAACACAGCAATGAAAAAAGGAAGGGTGTGAAAAAGCAAGCAGCCAACCACATAAAAACTTACCAACATCCATAGCAGTTTCCATGAAGCTTTTCTGCCTTGATGCAAATTCAGCCAACAATTTCTGTTGCCTTTCTCTGGCCTTCTGTCGTCTGAGTGAAAGAAAAGGTAAGACAAAAAAGTATATATAATGGAGGGGAAAAAATAGTTTGTCACTTTAACCAATATTCTTCAAAATTCAAGTTTTCAAAGGATTTTCAAGCCTAAAGAAGTAATCTTTTGTTTAAAAGTAGAGGGTGTTTTTTTTCTGAAAGTTATTTTCTTTTGAAAATGAAAGTAAGGAAAAAATACTGCCCAAAAAAACTCTTCAGATAACCAAACGATCCTTTAACAGTTTACAACGTGGCATCAGAAGAAAAAGAACCTGAGATGTTATTCTCAAGAGTTATTTTTATGTTACATGGGGAAGAACAGAGTAAAATGTCTACTGTTGTACAAACACAAGTACTCTTGTAAGCAACTAATGTTTAGAAAATAAAAGCAATAGTAGTGGTAGTAGTCTGTGTCACTCACTTTTGGTAACAAGCTTGATGGCAAGGCAAACAATTATGGCTCTTATTATTTCCAACTAAGTCTCCTCTTTACTGGTTCCTTCTCCTCCACCTCTACTTTAGATACTGGTCACCAACAGTTTGGACATAAGATTGCTTCCAAACTGAAGACCTTTGTCTCCCTGGAGCCAAGCTGACTTGACTTTTTCCTCATTGTTTAACATAGCTCGGGATTTACAAATGGAAGACAGTAGAGACTCATTCTTGTCTATCCTTCTGTTTATACTGTATTAGTGATCTGTACAAGGCTATATGATGCTATTCTATTATGCCTATATATACATACTGCAACAGGCAAAGGAATATTGATGGATGTAAAAAAAAATAAATAGACATTTTCTTCTTCCTAAGATACTCAGAAAGGATCTTTACTTTGACAAGAGTCTACAAATAGAGGAAATGTGAGACTTTAAGTGGGAAAACCAAAACTCACACCACTGCTGCTCACCAGTTGGCATGCACAAAGACCTGTGTGCCCCACAGATGAGGTCTTTACACAGCATCTCCCCAGTGCAGTCAGGGAAGCTCTATCAGAGCAAACTCTGCATCAGCATTTACAGTTAATCTTTTCCCCACTCAGAGATTATTCAGATAACGAACAATGGATTTATAAACATCGCTTGGCATGTGATATGCTGATAGGTAGCTCTTTAGTCTCCAGCACTGTCTGATTATCACTGTCCTGGCACAGGAACAAGCATGCCCAGGCCCAAAACAGCTAATATAATGTAACACATTAGCCTGAGGTGGCCTGTTTATAAGTCAAAGCTTCTAACTTAAAAAACCCAAATATCACTACCCATGTGTCACATTACACAGCTACCATTTCTGAAAATAACTGCTATTTACAACAATCCTACAATTATTTATTCTGAGGATCAGACCAGGACATTCATTAAACCTGCTTTTATTTATTTCCCCCTGGGAATTTCTCAATGTATGCTTTAACTAAAAGCAGAGTAACTGTAAATAGACATCTTTAATCAGAAGACATAAACTCTGACAGATTCAGCACAGCTCAGTAGTTTTCCATGATGGCCCATGGGAGTATGACAGTGCAATTGAAAAAAAAATACTGCAAGCAGCTCAAGCTCTCTTCTAGCTCTGCATTTTGGTTTCTATGGTGACAATCCAGTGCCTGAGTGATGCCAAGTTTGTCGGCATATATTGAGATAACCAAAAAGGGTGATCACTGAATGCTCACGGTCTGTTTGTTCTTCACTAATACAAAACTGGACTTGGGGGGAAAAAGAAAAAAATTGCAGCCTGACAATAAACTTCATGTGTCCCAAATACCATTAGGGATTTGAGGAGAGGAAAACAGTCACTCAGAACAACAAACTGGAAACATTAATTTTTAAAATTATGCTAGCCCCAGAACCCAACTGAAAATTTAAAGTGCTTATGCTAGATCCTTGAAAATATCACATCCTTTATAAGGGAAAAGGAATTATCTTTTCTATATGAAAAGTTACTTAATTTATTGATTCCCATGCTTCTCCTGTACCTAAATCTAGCACTACTGAGTAGCACCATCCCACAGATGTAGCTGTGTTCTATCTAAAGCAGCCATTCAGCCTTGCATTTACTGAAAGACAATTTTACATGCTAACCCTTCAATGTGTCTCTCATTTACTAAATTATTACAACTGTTGTTGAAAAATAAACCATTAACTGACCACTTTTAAGCAAAAATTAATTCTACTTTGTGAAGTATGTAACCTATAAAAAAATTAAATTTGTTTTAACTTATGTTTATTTTTGAAGTACAGTGCAGGTCTTAGACACAGAGAGAATTTAGTGAAAATTTTTTTACAAACAAACAGCATAATAAATAAAGATCATCTAGAAACCAACCGAGTCATATAGCTGCGTATTTCTACCCAAATATCTAGAACCATAACCATATAGCCTGCTTACATAAACCATTAATACATCAAAATACTGTGTGGACAAGCACTCAAGAATATTCTTGTTCATTCCAGCCTGTGTCCTGTCTTTACTTCAGCAAATGTGCTAAGTTCTCTGCCCTGACCACCCTGTGCTCTAGACCTTCCAACTGCCCCTTGTTTCAAAGGATGTGTTTCAATCTTTTGCACTAACCAGTTACCCATCTCTTCCCACTGCCCCACTCCAGCAAACTCATCATTCTGGCTGCCTCTACTACCTCCCCCAAATGCCAACTTCAGTCTTACTTGTGCCCTCCAGGTATTTGCACTCCTATTCCACATTCTCTTTTTCCTATTAGCTCTCAAACCCCATTCACCCACACCAAGATTTTCACTAAAAATTGGTTCTTTCAATTGCTACTCTCCTCCAAGTATTTCTGTCCCAACAGCACAGTTCTTTCCAACTCTTTTTTTGCCAGCTTGAGTCTTCCCATGCCAACTATTCACTTGACCCAGCATCTTCCCTTTCCTCACTATTACACTGACCAGAAGGTTTCTCCCACCGGTCTTAGTTTTCACCTCTACTTCTCACTTTTCTTGTCAGACATCTTGCATGCAGGTTTTCAGGCCACAAACTTGAATATGATTTTTTGAAAGTTAAAAAGTATAAATAATTCAAAACATAATTTTAAAATTGAATGTGTCAGACAAGAAAAAAAGGCAGCATTACCAACCCACATATAGTAAACAAAGAAGGAAAAGTAATCATGATGTGATGCATGTGTGTGAATGAACAGACAATAAAAAATTTCTACCTCATCCTAAGGTTGCAGAGTTAAGCATCAAAATTTAACACAATCTTAACTCTGAACCTTTGTATATATGAATGGCACACATAGCAACATGAAGGGTGAGTTTGTGTATCACAATATGAAAGTTTCCTGATTTAAAGACCTAAATTAGTAAGGTACAGCTTCTTCCTCAGCACCCATGTAACTCGTGTATATACAAGTAGATTAAGAACTATAAAACTAGACTTACTCTTTTAATAACTAATTAATGCAAAGACCTAGAGACAGACCAATCAATAGATGCACAACATACACTGCCCTTCTACAGCCCCTTTACTTTTTTTTTAATGTTACCTTTCTTCTTTATCCAAAGTTTTCTTCTCTGCAGAACTAATCTTCTTTGGTGGTACAGGAGGTGTCACCTTTCTGCAAATCTCTTCAATTATACGCTTATTCAATCTGCTCTGTACAGCAGCTTTCAATAAAATCCTTTCCACTGCTGTCATTCCATCACCGTGAGAGTATCTTGGAATTTCTGGGTGGATTAAAACATCCACATCATCCAACCAAGGAGGATAGTAAGAGTTTTGTTTTCCTGAGAGTTTGTGATGCAATTTAATCAGCAAGGACAGTATGCTTTCCTTCACTTCCAGAATGGCTGTGGTTAACTGTGGAGTTGCACCAGGTGCTGACCATTTCATGGATGTTTTTGGCCGAACCACCTGATTTGCCTCATTGGTGTTGCGATTGATGATCTCTTGAAATTTCTTCCTACGTTCTGCGACCAAACTAAACACTTGAGCTGTCCCCGAGTTCTTGGGAAAAAAAATTACAACCGTCACTTTTCAAAAAGACAAGTATAAACAACATACATTTATAAAACCATACAAAGTATTTTAAATCAGGAGTTTCCTTCAAGTTTCCTCTCTCCTTCCAAGATGTACTGAAACTTGGTACAGCAAAATACTAACCCTGCATGTCACACTTTTATACAAATCTGTTATATACAGCTGCATAAGAAGCCAAGTAGAAAATGAAAATATCATCCATACCAGGACAACTAACAACTGGCTTTGTTCTAGTTAAACTTAGAATTCTGTTCTCCAAGTAATATTTCCTTGCTTTTTATGGAATATAGAAAATTTCTGTATCTTTATGTCATTTAAATATCTTTTTTAAGTCTACTGAGCACTTCTGTACAGAGCAACTCATAATCCCACAGAGGTGAGATCACACATCTTCATTGGGTTGTCCATGTTATGTGGGCTTATTAGCCAAGATCACAAGCCATACACCTGTATTGGCAAACAGAGCTTGTTATTCAGGGTACATGAACATAAGTGGTTACATTAATGACAGAGCACATTCAAATTTTTTTGTCCCACCTTACCATTGCTTTCAGTCCCAAATCAAGGATACATAGAAGCAACTTCTGTATACTGATTCCACAGCAGAAAAATGTTTCCTGAATATTTTGAACATGATATTCAGAATGCTTCAAAATCCTACCCTCTCCTTTCTCAGAAAGCTGGGCAGTCAAGAGATACCAAATACTTCAGAAATCAAATATAAAAATGGGTTTGACAATCATCTCATCTACCTTTTTATGTTTTAATCTATTTCACCTCACCCACCTTTTTAAAATTTAAACCTATTTTTCTAACAATATGTAAAAGAAATATCCATTTTATTTCACTTCATCCAGCATTCAATAATCTGAAGTGCTGTATACAAAAGATACAAAAGCAGTCCTGACAGAGATTATACTATCTACCAGCTAGAAATCCTTCAGGATCCTACCATTTACATATTAGTTTTGTTTAAAAAAAAGAAAAAAAACCAAACAGAATCACCATTAATAATTTCAAATGCACTTTCAATATAAGGTTCAACTCACCTAGATTCAAGAAAGCAAATAGTACTCTGCATTATTAAATGTTAGTAATATCTTGGCAAGACAAACAGTCCTAAACACAAAGCTCAAGCAGTAAGCTATAATGACATTTTCTATTTGATAGAAAGCTTTTATTTCAAAATAGGTATTAAAAATGTAAGGGCATGTCTTTGCTTAAAAGAGATCACAATCAAGGATATGGAAAAAGCATAACTCCTTGCAACATCAATGAAAATGAAACTCAAGAAAATTAGAAGATTTCATTGAAAGTTAAGGTGAGCACAATTAAAGCCATGTTGCTAGTTAATTGTTTAGGAGAACAAACTGCACACAGATCTACCTCTCTCTGGAGGCTCTTCCGCCTTGAACTCTGGTAGATTGAGGACAAAAAAAGTCATTAAATACATAATTTGGAAGGAGATATCATTTGAAATAAATTCTATTTCTGCTACCAGCACACTTAGGAAAGATTACTGGATGAAAAAAAAAATCCTAAGAAATTATTACAAAGAGTAAAAAAATCCTAACAAAAAGACGAAAACATGAAATAACTTAAATGAATTTAGGAAAATTACTATTATTTGTATATACTTACTTGTGATGAAGCTAAACCATCAGAACTTGTACTTGCAGGTGGTTCCTTCTTCACCTCTGGAGCAGTTTCTGGTACTCTTACTCGGACATAGTTAATGAAGTGACGCATGTTAGAAACCAAGTTACTACCTGGAAACCAACTATCATGGCAACGCTCTTGTCCACTTGCAGATTCCTACAATAATAATAAAAGTTTCTCTTGTATGTTACAATAATTCATGTTGCTGTTATAACTGTATTACAGAGAGCATCATCTCTCCATGAGACAGCAATAATATGTCAGGACAGTTTGTACTTCACTAAAGCTGATACAGGTCCTAAAAATCATTATACGACTGATGCCCACAGTGAGAACTACAGGTCCGACAAATACATTTCATTTTAATATGATCAAGTGCGTGTCATCATTGCCATCCAGCAGAAGAAACTCCTCAGAGTAGGCCAAAACTGTACGATCCAAGATTAATACAAAAAATCCAAACTATACAGAATATCTGAAAAAAAGTGGCAGATCCTTAGTCATATAAGCAATGTAAAGAGTAGGAAAAATTATGAAAGTCATACAGGAAAGTCAAAAGGGAATCTGGAACTATAAAAATAATATTGAATCATTGGACAACACTTTAACCTTCTAATTAAAAAGATGGTATTTATTCTTACCTCTTCATCTGACTCATGTTCTGGAGAATTTTCCAACCCCAGCTCAATCAAATATAAAACCATGCAAAGCACATGTTCTGATAAATTCTGATGATCCATTAACATCTAGGCAGAAAAACAGACGTTGACATCTTAGAAGGTTTTTATCTTTTAAACATTCACAAAAGAATAAAACAAACAACTGCCAAAAAGCAGGTGGACACCTCTAACAAACTGGAAGGTAAAGCAGAAAGTAGGTAGGAGTCTCTTATGAAGAAGCTCAAGATACCACCTACAAATGTCATCTCTGAGCATGACTTCCCAAGTTAGCCACACCAGGAAAGGTAGAAGGTCTTGAGCCACATACGTGATTTTTGCCTATATGTTGTGGTTTGTTTCTTTCTTAATTAATCACTCTGCTTGCAGAGGCTGTATAATGCGATATAAGTACCAGCTGAAAAGCCTAGACAGACAGGACACCTTAGCAACACTTGTTACCCTAGCATAATTTTGATAGACACTGAGCACTGATTTTAGCATTTAAAATAGTTTGCTGTTAGTTGCACAGTACTACTTTCAAAGTTCTATCATATGGATAAAAATACAGTTAAGAAAATATTACTTTTGAGAGCAGAGAACTGTCTATTCAAGTTCTTGAAATACCTACTCTGAAACACCAGCAAGGTATTTTGAACTTCACTCTTGTTGAACGCTCCAATACCTGATTAGTGATTATGCTGCAAGATTTTTAGAACGTTCCAAGTAGGTGAAGAATAGTAAGAAAAGTAACATTAATGTAGCTCTCCAATAACAGTGATGGAACACTACTACTAAATAAGACAAGTAATTTTGAATGGGATGCATGAACACGTGTTCTATTCAAAGACAGAAAATCATCATTCCATGCAGTCTATTAAGACTTCAATATATCTAAATATATAAAGTGTTTTCTAGAAAATACACTTTGGACTCTTCGGTTTTAGAGGATTTTTTTAAGATTGTGAAAAGTTATTTTGAGGTTTAGAAAAAACTAACCTCTGAGCCTAACCATAAAAACAATTTTTAATGTTGTATCTCTTTCCAGTGAAAAAAACTTCTATCTTGAAATTGTTATTAGTTCAAGCTGTGATTAACACCAAAGTGCCAAGCAAAGCTGCCACATACAATGCTACTGTCAGCTACAAGCAGAAAGCTGCACTTAGCCTTGCCTCTCTTTTTCCCATCACCAGTCACCATAAAGCCTCATGAGATCCTAGTCCTATAAATGATGCCTGGATAACTGGGAATGCTAGAAGGCTTAAAATTAATTTGGTTGACAAACATCTTCACATAATCTTTTTTCATTACAAATAATAAATAATCTTATCTTTAAATTACTAAATGCGCATATCTTTCTTCTAACACAGCCTTCAATACATTAAGAGGAAGAACCTGTGCAGTTGAAATGAAAAACCAGGACAACTTTCCTCTTGGGAATATTCTGATTTAAAGGGATGGGGAAAAAAAAGTGGATGAGCAAAGATGTTTTAGATGTCCTTGCAGACAGGTTACTGTAGAAATTAATATTTTTAAAGTATAGCCTTGTAAGGATAAACCCATTAGAAACACCAGACAGATAAAAGTTCTTAAAACAAATATTGCTCTACAACAGCATTTTGAAATAATTAATGAGCATGTGGTTTAATCAAACCAAATCAAATCTGAGATTAAAGGGATAATTTCATTTAAAAGGGCACTCAGTATTATGTTAACATGAAAACTATGTGCAGTTGTACCAGTTAGAATCAAAAGTCATGCTGACTAACACTTCTGAAAGTCAAATCATCAAATGTAGTTTACTGTTCTCTCCTGTGGCCATTCTCAAAAGTCAAGAGATATAAAGGCTGTCATAAATCAGTGAAATTTCACGAAGACAAAACATAATTTAGGGCAAACAATGGACCGCATCACTGTGACATTTCTACCACCCATAAATCACACAGAAATAACTGGCATTCCAGCTAAAAGAGCAACTCAGAAATTTTAAGATTCTAAAGATTTAAGTCATTGAAGCTTAATGGAATAAGAGAAAAAATGGCCAAAAAACCCAAGCAAGACAGTAAAAGATGCATTTCTTCCCTACATTCTCCATTTTTGTTCCATGTAAAAATATTATTGCATTTTCTACATAACCCAAGATCTCCTTTTCTTCAGCAGTCATTCTTTAAGTCTCTAGTCTATCTAGGACTTTTCTACAGGTATGCTTCTTCCCTAGTCTCTGCTCCACACTACTCAGCTTCGTTCCTCACCCTGCAGTAATTAGACAGCCCAGCCACTGAAGAGAGGCAGACCTAAGCAGGGTTAAACATATCACACACAGCAGCTTCTTTGTCCAAAATTATGGAAATCCCTAGGGAATAAGGTACTGCCATTTAAGCTAAAGTTCAAGTTAGCTCTGGTGTGGGGCATGCCCAGGGTCTGAAGCTGACCTTCTTGGGACTTCATCAGTTAACAGCCACTGAACATGCACACAATGTAACTTTGCAATGCCTACAATTTGGCTAAATTCAGATGCTGAATCTTAATAAAAGAATGCTTAAAACATAGGAAAGGGAGATGTATTTTGTCCTTGTGTTTTTCTGAAAAACTCATGCCACAACAGGCATTCAGCATGAAAATGTTAAGTCATTGGTTAAACTTCAGCAAGATGAGGAACTGGATGTCTGACATGAGAAAACCTTGACCAACCATTAGATGTTGTACTACTGGGCGTCAAAAAATTATAGTCATGAAATTCAGTCTTCACCATAACATTCTAATTCTATTAATGGTAAGGAAGAACTAACAGTAAAACAAATTTTTGTATTTCAGAATTTTAAAGTAGATTTTTGAAATTGCACTAATTATATAGCAAAACCTGTAGTTTACTGCAGTTGTTAATTTGTATGCAATATGAAGCTTTTGAAAAAGTCCTTGTCTTTCATAAAGGTGAAATCTATTGGATGAATTCAGGTAAAAAGCCTTCATTCATCTTAATTATGTACTGACAACTTATGGGATACCTCATTAGAGAAAGAAATCAGCTGAAACAATTCTGTGGGAATAAGCATGGCTCTTTGAGAATAACACAGTTTTTGCTGTACTTAACAACAGATATTTTCTATTCAACAGAAGTTTAACAACAAAATAGAACAAGAGCTTTAGGGGAGCTGGGAGCACTTAAAAGCACAAAAGGAAAGTCTGTCCAGAAGAAGCACTACTGTGCCTCAATCAAACCACTTTTTTATAGTCTCCCATCTGCCTGGGCAGTACCCTTCTTGGAAAGTAGTTTCCCGGTACTTAGATGTAAAGCCTCATTTTCTGATTAACGAGCGCTTCAAAAATTATACACTTTTCTTAAAGAGGGTAGCCAACTATCAGAGACAAAACCAAACAGAATTTAAAGGCATCAATTAGTCCTGTAAAACAAGTGCTGGAATATCATCAAGAGCTACAGTATATCTGGGAAGTGATGTTAGAACCAACTGCAACTATGAGAGGTATCTGTCATTTAGGATCTAAAGCCGTAAAGGTTACAGGTACTTGAAAAGTCTGCTGGTGCCTTAAAGCTCTACAGTGGGAGCTGAAGAAACACCACTCACACCACCATGCTCCCTGGAACCATGCTCCTTAGAATATGATGGCTCATCCATTTGGGTACCTGACTTAGCGTATGTATACATAAAACAATCTTCAATGAAATAACAAAAATGGTAGAAAAACAAAATTACACTCGACTTCTTAAAAAATAAAACATTTATGTAATGTAAAATTGACTACCATAGATGACCTATTTTAAAAATCAGAATTCTAAGAACTCTTGTTTGAAGAAGTGGAAGCAAAATACTGGACGTAATGAGAATTACACTGTACCTTGTAAAGAAGCGTGAACAGAACAATGTGCAGGGTTTTACAGTGTAAAAGCTTTATGAGACCTTTGTAGCTTGGATGTAGTGGCGTTCTTTTCTTGTAAGGCGGCCATGGGTTCCCAGGGAATTTACCACTTTGCTTTAAACTGTTGAAACAAATGAGACATTTGTTAAACACCGCAAAACACAGACAGATGCCACTATTACAAATAACTATCCTGCCTTCTTTTTTGTTTAGACCAACTTTAGAATTGATGAGCATTTCTAAGCCATTTAATTTTTTTAAACAGCATTCCAAAAAGTGCTATGTATACACAAACTGAATCTAGACTTATTTTTCTGTGCATTACCACTGATTAGAACAACTGTAATTTTTTTGAAGAGATGAAAAATTTCTCACTTCAACAAAATCCACATGTTAATCAGATATTCAAAACAGAAATCTCACATCTGTAGAAGTGGATTTCAGACAACATCTGAACTGCACAGACATTTATGGAAGAGTAACAGACTAAGCTAACCAAAACCATGATATTGCCTGTAAATTTGTGAACTATTAACTCAAGAACAAATCTGGGGCCTGAAAACATCAGTAATATGATTAGGACTATCAGTGAAAATAAGAAACATTTTGTGCAATGAGCATTCGAATCCCAACTTACAATGCTGTATATCTGTCCATTGCAGACTGCACATCTCTACGGTAAACTGTTCGAAGTATTACCATGACAGGGTCAAATTCCTTATCCCAAACTTCAGCTGTTGTTTAAAAGAAGTCATATGTTAAAATTCTCTTCACAGACCTTACAACTTATTCTAGAATCTATTCTTAATTGGCATTAATTATGTAATTTTCTATATTCTTTTTGCAGCAAAGTACAGTAATTTTTACTAATTCTTACTATACCAAAAATTACTACTACTTATAAAGATATCAAAATTCAACCAAAAATATTTTTCTTGGTTCCAAAACATAAGTTAACAATCCATTAAAGGAATAGATCTTTTCTATTAAGAAGTTGTATTCTAGTGTCTTCTAGCTTTATGCTACATACTGATTTATAATGTGGGATAAAAGACAAAAAGAAAAATCACGTATTTCTGGTAAAATAAATGTTAAAACACATGCTGAGCAAAGTTTTTTTGTTCTTTTGTTGGGTTTTTTAAATTCCAACTTACTGTCCGAGTAAATTTATTTATCCAATTGTAAGTATGTAAGCCACATACCTTTTCTGTATTCATCTTGTTTTGCTCTTTTAAATTTCTGATTACATATGAAAAAAAGGTTTCTTTTTTTTTTTTTTAAACTTGGTACTCGCAAACCCTCTCAAAAATAGAAGTAGAGACTGCAGACTAGTTAGCAGGTAGGCGACATTTAACTATTAAATGCAGTGAGCCAGATGACTACCACACAATTTTTTGCCCAATCTGAAAAATGGCGAAGTTTCTTATGAAATAACATTTGTGATCAATTCTTTACAGATGTGTTTTTATTTTAGAACTGAAGTCTAGGCATTGCTTTGGCATTGGACTCTTACTTATCTCTGTTTAATTTAGGAGATCTAAAGTAACATCCAGAGTGGTTTTTCAGAGCAATCACAAACAGAAAAATTCAGACTGTTGAATAAAGGTATCCCATTTAACTACTACTTTTTTTTTTTCTATTTACAAGTTATTAAAAAAAACCCAAAACTAAGTTTCCAACGTAAAGGCGAATTAAGTTGCTTATTTTATTAATAGTTTGGAAGTGTTTAGCTCCTGTAACACAGCAATATGAAGGGAAGAGTCAATTATTCCACCCAAGCAAGAAGAAAAACACAGATTACTTCTTTTAGCTCCACCAGCAGGCCTAACACAACACAAGTGCTAACCACATTCTTTAAAGTTTTCACAGACAAAAGTAGGCAGCTTTATCATACTTTTGAGATTAATTTCTCCAAGGCATGAGTACTACACTCCTATTAACTCCTGCTACTGTTAACAGTTCTACAGATACCTTTATATGCTGCTGAGAGAGAGAACTTAGCAGACTTTCTACTATGTATGAAAGATAAAATTTAGCTTGCAAAAAACCAACCAACCAAACTTTTTTTCTTGGAGGGACAAATTTTACTACTGCAGTCTGAAACACAGATCAAGCTTGCTTTGGCTGCTAACATACAATGAGGAAAAAGGACTATGTGAGGGAGCCATAAGGGGAATCTTAGAAATGCACACAGCTCATCTTCAGCATACAAATCCACAGAGAACAGGAAGAACTATGACCTTTTTTTTCCCCCTCCTAAATTTGGTAAACAAGATATTATGGGGAATAAATCTCAACATGACTTACTTAAACTGTGACAGGACACAAATTACAATACTTAAAAGCAACTGGAAGTGGAATAATTCTTTTTGAGAACCTATATAGTCTTAGCACACAAGAAAATCATGCTGGCTTTTAATTTCTGCAGAAGCTCTTCCAGGAAAAAAGCAATTCTGCAGTGTTACAAATTACCTCCGTTTTCACTACTACAGATAAGATACTTTGTGTTGTTCTTTGTTTAAGATAAACAATCTACTACAGAAGTAAACTGTGTTTAAAAAAAAAGGCCAAACACAGAAAAAAACCCAAAACAGTATAATATAGCACCAGATTCTGTAAATATGAAGTGTTATAATTAAAAATACCATAATGCATCTTTTTTTCCTTCATACTGTGTTGTGAAAAAGTGCAGCATGTCACAAGTTCTAGAAATCAGACATGACAGAAGGAAATGCAGTATATAGAGTATTAAAATAAAAGTTATTTCAAATATTTAGGGGTTAAGCTGCCTAATTACACACCAAGGAACCAGAATGAATCCATTTCCAAAAGTCTTGTTTCACAAGATTACTTCACTGGTTGTTAATTTGTACAAAAGTATAAACTTCACTGACTCATCAATCTCCTAGTACAAAAACCAGCAAGCAAGTTAGTACAGTATTAGTTCCTACATGAACAACAAAGAAAATCCACAAAAGAACACAGCCTATAAATCAAATTGTCAGACCCCAACCCCGTCAGTTCTCAAGTGATGTAACTGAGGGGGACGAAGGAGTTAATTCCGTTTCAGCTTTCTCATGAGCTGAAGCATTTCAGATTCTCACAGGCTTATCTGCTCAGTGATAGGAAACTATAATGGAACACTGAGTCCTTAAATTCTGCCTCTCCTTTGATATACCAACAATATGCTGAGTTCAATTTAGATGACAAGCTGGTCAGGGGAAGAAACCTGTCATTTTTGCACTATATGCATTGTAGAATTTTAAAACTACATTCTATAACCAGTCCAGTCTGAATTTTTTTCTAGACTCTCGCTACTGACTGAGAATATAGTTAAGCTATAAGGAAGAATTATGTATAATTCTATCTTTAATAATCCAAATATGGAGAAGTTCAAAGAAAAAAAAAACTTTGCCACTGACACCTCACTAGTGCAAACAACTCTAAAGCCTACTGAAGATCTATCAGGTTTTCCTAAAATCACCTGAATTAAGTAGGCAGACGAGTGAAATACAAGTAACAATTTTCCAGTTTTCCATTTTCTTCTTGCTTTCTAAGGATACTTGATTAGTACAAGAAACTCATTTACACTCTAGATCAAAATGAATTTGTTTTAAAATTACTAACAATCTTCAGCAATGTTATTTAATATGAACAATAATTAATAAGGCAAGTTTTATTATACTGTGATGGTTTTAGGTTTGGAGTCTTTGCGGATTTCTTTTGGGGGGGTTTGTTGTTTGGCGAGTTGTGTTTTTTGGGCATTGGTTTGGGGGGTTTTTGTTGTTTTTTTTAAAGAAAAAAACTCTGGTTGTGCACCTTACCACTGAGCATGAAGATGCTGATTACCGTACCTTTAGGTGTATACATTCCTTGCTGCATAGAACCTCCAGGTTCAAAAACAGGAGCTTTAAAATCAGCAACTGCTGACAAGACTGATTCAAAGCTTAAGCTTCCTGGAATAATGCCACTTTTAGGATTGGGGTTTTCTGGAATGTAACGTTTGTGTTAAGGAAAGCAAAGTTAACTTAGTTGCAAGACAGCATTTTACTTCCCTCGACATTTTCAGTCGCTCATTTTGGAGGCTACATTTCGGCAGTGCTCTGTGTTTACCGCAAGAGGTCCGTATGCTCCAGCTGCAATGGTACAATAACTATTACTGAAGGGAATTCAAGCCTCCTAGCTAGGACATGAAATTTCTTTAAAGCAAGTTAATTGCTGCATGCTTGGCTTAAGAGGTAAATATTAAATGAGAAATAAAAACTACTATCTGTAGTGTATATAAAATTTCTGTTCTTGCTTTTATTTCCTGACACTTTGGCCCTCTTCGTAGCAAGAATATTTTGCATTTACAGCTAAGTGCAGAAAAAGCAAGTGAATAGCTTGGGATCCATCAAGATAGTAAGTAATTCTCCATCTCGGATTGTCTACTTCTCGTTTTTGGTAGCAATATCTAATTGAACTACTGACACTACACTAAATCACAAGTAATAATTATAACTAAGGAAACTTCTGCTTAAAGGTGATTGCTTGTGTAAATTATTTATTTTACACAACTAAGTGATTCACTTCATTGCTTTAAGTGCTTAGCTTATTTTGCATACTTAAATGATTGAATTACTAGGTCATACCGTAATAATAACCCTTATTACATATTTGTAACTCTTAATCTCCTCCTACCTTTATGAATTCCTAATAATTTTGCTCAGTAGTTATCCTTGGATAGCAAGCTCTTTTGGTCAGCCACCACAAGCTATTTAATTTGCCTTCACAGCTTAACACACTGATAGCAGCAGAATCTGCATACTAGTTCTTAGCTGCTGGAGGACACGAACCATATCACTGTGCAAAAAGACTCCCTGGAGTTTCCTATTCTTCATGTAAGACATTTTCCCCTGTAAAATATGCATCTCTCTATAATTTCAAAGCAGCTTCCCCAATTGCTAGTGTTTGCATTTTCAGCTATTGATAGCAAAAGCCAACATATCATAGAGCAGCTTCTTTTTACCCTGTCATAATATTAACAGTAATCAAAGGCTTAAAACCAGATAGAGGTGACACATGGCTAAACTTTCTACAATGTCATTGGAAACTTTTTACCTTACACCTAAAAGACCTTCTTATTAGTTTTCAACACTACAAAGAACATGCAAGCATTTTGTGGCAAAATTAATTTGAAACTATTGAACAGTATTGCATATTTTTGTAAGAAAAATCAAACCTGAAGCAAATGTCTTTGCTGATAAGTATATACAAACACATCTTTACATGATTAGTTTTAATTATGTAAGCTGCTGTTCAAGCTTCAAAATCCCCCTACTATCCAGGCACCTGTCATTTTCATTCAAACACATTAGTTAATATATTCCAAGGATATGAGATCCAATAATGAACTGTGTGTCCTGTCATTCATACAGAGTTGGGCTACCATCTCTGCTCTGAGGATCTCATCATCTGTCATTCCTAGAATAAACAAAATTGTAAAAGCCATTAAAATAGCATTATTTAAAACAAATTTTCAGCCTACACATTTGCCATTAAACACAAGTTAAACTTGATAAAAACATTACTCTTAAGTAATGATACAGTGCTACAAAAACACA